AACAGATCTTGCGATGGAGATCTCGATGGTCGGGAGGGGATCGGCTGGCTCCTGTTCTTGTTCCTCGTGTTCCTGTTCAGCATCTGACTCTGGTTCCTCGGCCGGCTTGGGATCTGCGGGCTCATGCTCATCTTTCGTCTTGTCGTCTTCTTCGGTTGTGACTTCGTTGGCAAGAGGCATGCGGATGGTGTCCGCTGGTGAGACAGATTTATTACTATCCGAGGGAGATAAGGGAGAGAATCTTTGTTGAACGGCGGCAAGGGGCGAGAGGATCGGAGACGATGCCGTCGACTCACTGTTCGCAGGCTCGGGCGATAGTTCTTGGGTGTTGAGCGAGAGCGCGGGGGTTGACTTCTGCGATTTCGTGTCGTCTGTAGATGGCTTCCTCTTGTTGATCATCTCCCATTCTGGCTCGCCTTTGGGGTCAACGTAGGTTTGGACTGGCTTGAGCTTTTGCAAGATGAATTTTTCATCTTCTGAGTCAATGGTTGTGCTTGAAATGAACGAGGATACTGAGTCTTGGGGTTTGTGGCAGCCTATTGTATCGCTGTGGACCATGAGGAGAATGTGATCTTGTTCATTGGACGAGTCTCCCTGGCGCGACTCTGCTCTAGATACTTGGTTTCGGGGTAAGGGACTGGGGCCCCGTGGGAGGTTTTGAGTGCCTAGCACCTTGGAAGCTTTGCTCTTGTGTGTTGCTGGGAATAATGAGAGTCTAGGGGAATTTGAGCGTGTTGGCGAGGTGGCCCTTCGTCGGGGCGGAAGTAAGTCTGGTGATGGCGGTGATGTCTGATGTGTCTTCAGTAATTTGTACGTGATGTTGTATCGGGGAATATATTGGATTATTTACCTCGGTGTTGGGAGCGCTCATATTTTCTAGTGTTCTGCTGCGCCTATTCAACGGTGAAGGCTCATTTTTGTTGAGTAGAGCGCTGAACATAACGCTGTATCGTTCCATCTCAATACTTGGGATATCGACCTGCAGGAGAGGTCCCGATTTCGACTCGACAGACTGCTGTCTATCTTGAGCTGGCACCTGTGCGACACTGGCATTTTGTTGCTTCTCTTCGGCCCTGACCTCCGGCTCAAGACACGGCCATACCTCTGTATCCACGACATGGTTGGATTTCGCCTCGCGAGCCTGATAATCAATGGAATGGGAAGAATCCTGCGCAAGAGGTGCCTGACTACCCTGAACCTGAACTTGATAAAAAGGCTGACTCGCACCCGATGCAACAGCATTCTTCGCCTTGAACAATCCACCGATTTTCCTCCACTTGCTCGGCTTCCGCTGGAGCTGCGGGGCTGCTTTGGGGCGTCCGCGCGCAGACTCTAGCGCCTTCTCTTGCATCTGCGAAAAGGTGTTCTGTGGATTTACCAAGCGAGGACTACCTAGAGCGATCCCGATCATGTTTTCTTCCGAGCCATTCTCGCTGTGTGTCGGTGATTGTATCGCTTCAGCTGGAGGCACCGCTATCCGAAAATCGAATCCAGGCCCGGGTATTTCTACCTTCCTGTCCTTCTGGCGTCCGTCTGATGTCGAGGGGCGCTGGAAGTCCCCGTGGGTCTGCTGGATCGGCCGATGGTGCGCTGTGCTGCCATTTTTCAAGGCCTTGAGGTCATTTCGTGGTAATGCGTCAGTATGCATGGAGATGGGATTGGAAATGGCTGATTCCCGTGGGGCACGGGGTTTCCCCAGAAAGAGACCTCTGGCCATTTGCGCGATTTGCGGCTCAGCAATGCTGAATTTTATTGAAAGTAGGAGCTAATGGATTCCAACAAAAAATTGAATTCAGATAAAGAAACTAAACGAGTGATAGTGTGAAAGTAAGCTGGCATGAGACTCTATCTCAGCATCGGAAAGGAAGATAATAATAACAACAATAAAAGGAACGGACAGCCTTCCAGAAGGCCCTAAATGGTGAAACGGTACACGAGAGAAGGAAAGAGTCAGTCAGTCCATGATAAAAGAAAAGGAGGGTTCAAGGATGACGAGGATTTGGACGCAGTGGAGATTGTCGCAGAGTTATGGATCGATCTAATCAGACACGGGTTGGCCAAGTGTCGCAATTTAATTTCCAGTAGATTGGACGAAGCGAGATCTTCTAAAACAAACCAAGGAAAGTCTCAGACCAACGCTGTGCCTGTTGATCAAGCGCCGGGGCGCTTGAGTCAAAAACTGTCACAAAGAGGTCCCTCAGCCCTTCCATTGGACAACGCATGGGAGGAACGTGTACGGCCTGGTCCTCATGGCCTTCATAGACTGGTAGCGGTGGATGGAGTCCCTCATTCCGTCGTACCCTATCACGATGCTTATTTGGAAGGTTGCAAATGAACGTTGATGTTGCGAAATTAAGGGAGGACATGTTAAGTGACCCACTCAGGTGACTTTTTACCCTAGATCAGTCTAGCGGGAGTTGCATGATTGGACTCTCATCTCCCGTGCCCTAACTGCCAGATTAGCGTCAAAGCGTCGGCGGAGACTTTCCTTTGCGTTATAGCCTCACTAGGTAGGAACTCCGTCATGCAAACAGTAATGAGTGGATATCCTAATTCAAATGTACACAGTAAAGATCTTAGACGAAGAGACTGGGGAAGAAAAAGGGAAAAGCACAGCAGTAGCTTGATTCAAATTATCAACATAGAAATCAGAGAAAAAAAAAAAAAAAGGAAAGAGAAGACAAGAAAAAGAGCTGTGCAGGACAATCAGGACAGGCAAGTAAAAAGCAAAAAATATAATGAGACGAGCCGAATTGACCTCCTAATCACTGTTATGTATTTATGATGTTGAACTTCATAATGTATTATAGAGGTCTTCCTTCCTTTTAGCACTCCCACATATCAACAGTTGCGGGGATAGCTCAGTTGGGAGAGCGTTAGACTGAAGTTTACTTCGATCAGATAAACCCATTCGGGTTATCTAAAGGTCGCCGGTTCGATCCCGGCTCACCGCAATATTTTTTGCATTTTCGTTCACCTCAATTTTGATGCACCATAGATATTTATCTCCCTGAAATTAAAACATTGTTAAGACTGTTCATTATGAAGATTACTTTGCAAATGCAAGCAGTAATAGATGCCTTCACGTAGGAAAATAACTAATACTAGTAGTGCGCACCAAATGTAAGAGAGATTCGCACAAGGGCCTGATTGGCATATGTCCTGAGTAGCCCAGCGGCTTTATTTTTCCTTTTTTCGTCTGTTCCTATTCCCTTTAATTTTTATTTCTATTTTTATTTCTTTTTCATTTCTTTTTCGTTTCCCCCCAGCATCCAATCAGGAGAAATGACTCTCGATTCTCAATCCATAACTGCAATTTGGACACGCAAACCTCTCCAAAATGTAGAAACCTCATATATCTACAGAGTAGACTGCAAGAATCAAGCGTCCTTGCCATCACCGGAAATCACTATCTCTGTTCCTAATCATCACTGTACATAGACCTACTCGTTCAATATCTCCTTGTCTTACTTAAACACCTATCCCTCCAGCGCCAAAAATGACTGATCAACTGTCTACGGGTTTATGGAAAGCCGACGGTGGGGTCCACTACGATATGAGAGACGGTTCTGATTATCCTAGCCCATAAAGCAAAAGTCTTGGACCTGACGCCAGGAGTACAAGACCTGAATCTGCCGTACAAGACAGATTCTTTTACTAGTTCGCTGGTATGGATCAAACTGGAATCAAGACCAAGCAACTTCATCTTGATGCTGGTGTTGGACGTCTGCAATAGCGGTGCAATACAAAACGTGTGGCTTTTACAGTCCAACTTATGTCGATGGGCAATAAAAGAGAAGACTATGTGCTCTCCAAGGTGATGACAGCCATCTGCGAGGCTCCTGGGTCGACATTACGCTTTAGAGATTGCAAGTCGAATGGTCGGAAAGTCAGATCGGGCCTGTAACTCTCCTCGTCTTCTTCAGCAGCCTATCCCTCTAGCACCAAAAATGACTGATAAACTGTCTCCAAGTTTCATGAAAGGAACTCATCTGAGATTTTCAGTGAGACAGTCGCAAGATCAACATGTAATTCAATCTGCTCAGCAATGTTGTATATATTCCTCATGTGTCAGATCACCACACTCGAATAGTGTACTCCTAAATTAAGACTTACAGGTATTCATTCCTAGTTGTGCTCTGGTCTGTAACGCTTGTTACTACTATGCACGCTATTCAAATGTGGTTTCACCATTCTCGCCGAGTCCAACCTACAATCATCGCTCTAATCATCAGCAGTGCCACGGTGTGCTGGCCCTGTAACAGCCACAATGGGGTTCGGTGGGCTTTTGTCTTAAGTTAGCGACAACCGCAGCAGCAGTAACATAGCTCTTAAGAAACCGAATCAGGTAGGCCTTCTATGGTCCTATAAAGCCGCGGCCGTGGTTATAGAAGAATCCCTGCTGCGTGAGGGTTACAATGGGAGTTTGCGTCCCATAACCACATCCCTATCATGCCGCGCAACAATCCTCTCCCTAGTCTCGCTCGCTTAGGGTCTCTACAGAAAGGTCAAGGCTATTGATTTCCATACCTTAAAGTTTCATGGGAAAAGATGAATACGTTTTACCTTACACTCGGCTAGGTGTCCGTGGTAACATATATGGCTGACGATATAATCACTCCATATTGGAGAGGGATTCAATGCTTCAGCGACTCCATGGTCCAAGAAAACCAACACACCAAACCTATGTACAGGAGCGCATGCTTTATCGATATCGTAGCACATGCATTACTTGAAGGGAACATGAAAAGATAGACACAAATCTCAAATCCCGGTCAGGGAGCTTACATTAAATTCTGCAGAGAGATTAGACCGGCTAGGTATAGGCGTGAGGTGGTTGGTGGGGACTGATATTGAGTAAGAGCCGCACGCGATCTCAGAAGAGGATAGATAAATCCAGCCAAGCCTTCGGTTTAAACCCCTGCCTGCAATTGCTTTATGAAAATGAAATGTATCACCCCATTGTGATTTTAATTTTATACGAAAACCTCGTATAACTCGCCCTTATAGCTCAGTCGCAGAGCGCATCACTCGTAGCCTGAGGCATCCAAAAGCCTCTTTCGGTTGACATGATGAGGTCCGCGGTTCAATCCCGCGTGGGGGCAAGTACTTTTTTTTCCCTGCCAAATATATCCTCACATGTTGACAGTCCTACTACTAGTAGTAGTTAAGTTAGTACTGTATGTACCATTAACTAATTAGAGGGTTAATTAAAGAAAAACCATTGTTCGGCATCATCTCTTCTGGTCTCATTTTCATTCATTTATCATGTATGTCCTAGGAAGATCTCACACTTCCTATGGGGGCAACAACACATTACCTCGATTATTAGAGATATAATTAGATCTATGGAGTTATATTGCTGCGTCGGAAACGATGAAATATATTGAGAATTGCCCGATCCTACTTGCCAATGGCAACGAACAATCTATCGCCGATATCACCTAAGCCAGGAACAATCATGCCTCGTTCATTGCATTTCTCATCCACCGCTCCTGTCCAGAACTCTACTCCCTCAGGCCAAGAGTCTACAGCCCGACGAATGCCCGTCTCGGAGCCCAGTACACTGAGCATTACCACTCGCTTCACTCCCCACTCACGCAGAAGGTGAATCGCCGCTTCAGCCGTGGCACCTGTGGCGACGATGGGGTCAAGAAGAATAGCTGTGTCTGCGGCGGCGGTGTTGGAGTCAGAGCCGTCCTGGCGTTGGTAGGGGAGGTTATTGTAGTATTCGACGGGTTGAAGGGTGAACTTCTCACGGAAGAGACCTAGATGGTAGATGGGGACCGGGGCCGGGAGCAGGCTGTTAATTGCTAAATTGTCGTGCGTATAGTGAGAATTTGTACCCCTCAGAGCTAGTCGGACAACATACCCTCAGTCATGCCCAGTCCAGACCGAAGAATGGGTACCATGGCGACATTGGCGGGGTCAATATCTTGGGTATCATATTCGATACCTAACGGGGTTTGATCCTGGAAAGTGGATCAACATCGTCGATCCGATACGATCAGGGGTGATCAATCCTTACCGTTCCCCGCTTTGTAGTTTTCAATACCGTTGAGAAGGCCTCCACGCCTAGAATGGTCGTGATTTCATGGACAAGGCTCCTTGTTTCGCGGGTAGAGGTTTTATGGGACCGTAGCTGGGATATCTTGGCTTGTAGGCACGGGTGGGATGAAATATGGACATTTGGTGGAAGAGACATCGTAGCTGACGTAGTCGGGAGTATCGTATAGTTCTAGAGGTCGTAGAAAGATAGGGAGATAAGGAAATGGGAGCTTGTGAGGGGGGAGAAGCAAGAAATATATACACATCAGAGAAGTGAGGGGTCGGGATGTGTCGTGTCACCTGCTCAGGTACTGTATGGTATGTATGTATGTATGTATATGTACCTTGATGTCAGCATCCCGTTGTTCTTCGCTTAGAATTCCAAGTCACACTCTGTTACCTTGTCATTCCTTCACTCCCTTCTAATTCCTACTTTCTTTATCTCCACCTCTAGCCCCTCTCATTGTCGTTTATCGGGAACTGATAAGCTATCAACAATCACTTATCAGCTGTCTATCAACAACTAAATCATTGTTTATCCACTAAGATACCCACATACTACCATGACCCACTCTCTCCGTCCAATCTTCACTCCTTCCACACTGACTTTTCACAGCTCCTCATTTTCCTTCCCAACACTACCCTTCGCTAAAGAGATTATGTGAATCATATCGCGCATTGTCATTCGACATGCAATCCACAAGTACAATGCCTACCAACGACACTGAACAGCTGCCTGAAACCCAAGCGCCACCTCCCACTACCGAAGAAGCTTCGCAGCGCCAAGCCTGGTCATCCGAAGGATATGGGTTGCCTCCCACCAGTGACAAGCCTCCTTACGGCCCCGTTGAACCAACGCCCTCACGCAGGGAACCTGTCGAAAGACCCCTCTCCAAACATGCTACACACCTTTTCACTCTTTCATACCTGGTCTTCTTCGCTATTTTTGGCACTTTAGCACGTCTCGGCCTCCAAGCCCTGACCGCCTACCCGGGCGCGCCCGTGGTAACGGGCGTCCTCTGGGCCAACGTAGGAGGATCGCTACTGATGGGTTTCTTCCTCGAAGACAAGAACCTCTTTCGCGAAGAATGGGGTGACGTGAACCAGAACAACGACAACAACGGCACGGGAACAGACCCAAGCGCCGAATTGAAACGTCACAAGTCCATTAAAAAGACAATCCCATTGTACATCGGCCTAACAACCGGATTCTGCGGCTGCTTTACCTCCTTCTCCAGCTTCATACGCGACATCTTCCTCGCGCTATCCAACGACCTGTCGGATCCCTCTACCCCCAATGGTGGATACAGCTTCATGGCGCTAGTAGCCGTCATCCTAATAACGGTCGCGCTCAGTCTCGGCGCACTCATTTTCGGCGCCCATCTCGCCCTCGCTCTCGATCCCTTAACCCCATCTTTCCCCTTCCGCTTCACGCGCCGACTCATAGACCCCCTCTTCATCGTCCTTGGCTGGGGCTGCTGGCTGGGCGCCGTCTTCCTCGCAATATGGCCCCCGGATCGCCACGGCAATGGACCAGAGTTCTGGCGTGGTCGCGCAGTGTTTGCTGTCGTTTTCGCGCCGCTCGGCTGCTTCCTGCGTTACTGTGTTTCTCTAGTGTTGAATGCCCGACTCCCCGCTTTCCCGCTAGGTACGTTTGTCGTGAACATCTTCGGAACTATCATCCTCGCCATGTGCTATGACTTGCAGCATGTCGATGGCGTCGGGGCCTCCTCGGTTGGCTCTGGGGCTAGTTCGTCGATTCTCACGAGCTGTCAGGTGCTCGCTGGTGTCATGGATGGGTTCTGTGGTTCAGTAACCACGATTAGCACGTGGGTAGCAGAATTGAATGGGCTGAGTCGTCGACGACATGCCTATTTCTATGGAACTGTCAGTATCGGGGTTGCGCTGGGATTTTTTGTAATTATTACGGGCTCCTTGAGGTGGACCAGGGGGTTCGTGGAACCCGTTTGTAAATGAGTTGTTAGACGTATGTATTCTATAGCTTTTCAAAGATGTATATAGGACTACGATAAAACTTATAATTAGTCAATAACATAATAGATGCTACCATAACCTAATCCTACTGCTACTATTCGTTGCTCTTTGACATGTACCACAACTATTTACTGTGTAATAGAATAATTGCATTCCCCGCTCAAACAAATTGTATTTTGTGCTAGAATTACTTATAGTACAGGGTACTACAACGCAAAACCATGTGCAAGCAAGCGGAAAAGACCAAATAAACATTGTAAAGATAAAGATAAACAATTGAACAATCTTCAAGAACGGAATATCAAAACATGCAAAACAGTTGCGTCAAACAAGATAAAAAACGTCAAAAAAATATGAGGGGGGTGAGATAGAACGCAAACATTAACGGCGGGGACGGGCATAGACACATAAACTCAGAACGGTTCTAACTCAAATACATTAGGGCAAAAGCTCAAAAAAGTAAAAATAGTAGACCAAAGTATATGAGAACGAGTGACTTGAAGAGAAGCTTTAAAGTGGTAAGATGAATATATAACGGACAAGGTATCAAATGATCAGGGGACAAATCGACTGGCAAATTGACCAAACACGCTGATGCGTAGAAAAGAAGCACTAAGGATTAAGAGTGTAATGATGAGTATCAAGGAAACAACAACTCCACCGAGTGCTAAAGTGAAGAACACACAGGACCAGCCGGGTGTCGAGATGTTGCCTTGGGAAACTGCCCGTAAAAACAAAAAAATGACCACACCGGACTCCTGTGAGCTCTTGCAAAAACCAACAGGAATGACTATAAACGACGCAAGGAAAGACGTAACAAAATGATTAAACGATGAACAAACGTCAGTCAGGAGACACCAGCAAGAAGCATTATGCGGCGGTTCAGATCATAGCATTCCATAACCGGAAATCAAACTTCGCCGCCCACCTTCTTGCTCCTCCCATCCCGACCCTAAAAATCCGAGATTCCGCCAGTGTCCAAATGCCCAGGAAACGAGAGGAAGAAAAAGCGAAAACGTTCAATGATGAATGCGACCCGAGTCAGAGTGAGAAACACAAGAGGTGAAACTCAGCCCTGAGGGCCAAAAGAGCATAACGGCGATAAAAAAAAAGTCGATTATAGTGTATAAAACTCTCGAAGCCGACGTACTCATCGCCTAGTACGCCGTGCCTACACTAACAAGTGTCTTGGTTGGCATTGGGTGAATAGGTTGGTCCTTGGCGACGCGCAATGAGTCTTCGTAGCCAACCAAGGCCTGTGAGTGAAGCTTGAACGATTCGCCCATGAGCTTGGTAATTCTGAGACGTTGTCAGTAACTTGGATTTTCGATATTGTGCGTTAGAGAGATTGAAACTTACCCCCATACTACCACTCCGTCTAGGATATTACCCCATACACGGGCCACAGTGGAGCTGAGTTTACCAAAGGCATCGACGGCGTCATCATCGAACAAATTCCGCACCTTGTTGTAGATGGCCATCTCAGCCTCAGTCGCTGGTTCCTCGTCATGTTCCAGGCGATAGAGCCAGAGACTCAAGATGACCATCAGATCCAAGCCACAGAGCGGATGCTCGACACTCCAGTTGGTAGCAGATGTCTTCGCAACCCAGTTAATTCCTTGGACGGCGGCAATCTCGATGCATTCGAAGCAGGACTGGATAACCTTGTTCATCTCCTGGGAACGCTTCACCTTCTCACGAGCAACTGTCATGGCAGCAGCCACTTCATAAGACGAATGGTACCGCAAGGCCTCCTGGATCGACTTAAGGTCGACCTCCAACCGAGCGCGCGTGTTGCGATAAACAGCCATAGAGTTGAAGATCAATGGATGACCTTTTTGAGGAGTGCTGAGGGGCACCACGATCGTCTCTGGCTCACAAACCTCAAGAGAGTTCTCCCATGTTTCGAGTGCGAGACGGAGCTTATATTCTGTCACAACGTCTTGCAGAGCCTCAAAGCTCCGCTTGTGGTTCCAGACCTGTAAGAACAGAGCGTTGATCAAGACACGAGTCGCAAAAGCGCTATAACGAACTTGTTCACCTTGGAAGAGACAGTCGTGGGCTTCACGCACTGTGAGGGTAGTGGTCGAAGCCAAGCTACGGCGCCATGCCTCATCATCCGTGACATCAAGATTCCAAAGCGATTCTGACGATGGAAGCTCTAGGTTATCGAATTCGTCGAAGCTCATTGCGGGAGTGTGGTTGAAGGTCAGCGTGAGCATGCCGAAAAAGATGTAAACCGCATAGTAGGTTCGACGGCATGACTCGTCTTCAATCCACTCTTCCCGGGTGGGCTTGGCTCCCTCGCGAGCCTCGGTGCGAAGCTTCAGTTGATAGCGGTTACCAGCGACCATGTTAGCGAGCAAGCTCTTGATGGAGCATGTCCATTCAAGGCCTTTCGGATCACCGCTCCAACTCTCAAAGATCATGTTCAGCAGGCTGCTTTGCATAGCCCACAGCGGGCATTTTCTCGAATCGAAGTTGTCCTTGTGTTGCAGGAACTGCGTAACCAGCATCTTCGAGCCAACATGGAGCATGAATGCGTGTTGACGCTCAAAAGTGTACAGAGCGCCAATAGAGAGTACGGCTAACAACAGCGGAGGCGAGGTGTTTGTAGGCCTGAAGGACTCCTGATGCAAGAAGGGCAAATGATGGTGATACAGGTTGAAATACGTCGATAGATACTTGTTCAAGGCTGCCGTCGATGGAAGCTGGAAGCTCTCGGGAAGCGATCCAAGCGCGTCGGCATTCCTGATACGTTCTACGATCATATTCCGCTCAATTTCGTTTGCGATTTGAGGAGCCTTGGGCAGGGTCAGTGCTTGGCTGGGTCCGGGAGACTTCCGGTAGTTCACCGGGCTGACAGGACCTGTCATCGAGGGGTATGGTGACAAGGCGTTGGGAGTGGAATTTCCAGACACGGGTAACGAGTTGACCAGCGAGTGAAGCGAAGGTGCAAGCGCATCACCATGCCGTGCCATGCTCGACGATAGTGTATGCGAGTCTGGGCCATTGTCATGGGTCATAAAGTGCTTCGTATCAACAGGAGAGACTAGGGTGTCCCAAGGCATTTGGGGCAACGTCGCGTTGCCCGACAAATAAGATACAGAGGGTTCTAGTAGCGAACCGCGTCCGGGAGAGAAAGAGCGATCCGATTCAGCACGATCATTAACCTGACTGGTAGCAGCGGCTGCGGCTTTATGTTGGAAATCTGTCATCAACATGGCTGCAGTTTCAAGGTCGACCATACCGTCACTGCTTGCCTCAATTTGCTCCAACGTAGCAGGATCAATTGTAATTGAAGGCTTGGGAGGTGCAGGTGCAGGGGAGGACTTCTGAACACCTGCGCCGCCACGTCGGCGGCCCTCGGAAACAAGTGGGATCCCACCATCCTTAGCGTGGACAGTACGGTCATGGCGAAGAAGGAGGTCTCGACGAACAAAGGTACTCCGACATTTTAGGCACTTGAAGGGCCTCTCTTTTGTGTCTGTTGAGTCAACACGTCAGCATCATCCGCCATGTTCGAATCACACCATTTCTCCACAATGCAGGACTGAAAATCGCGTCCAGAAGCCATAATACACACGCGACCAAGCCCCGCATGGTATCAACAGCATAGAAGACCTGATTGTGAGGATATGAAAGGATGTGTCACTTACGGGAACGTTCATGTCTGCTGCGATGTTCGCTTCTGCTAAAAGCGCGATTACAAAATTGGCACTTGTATTTCTTCTCTGGTGCGGATGTCTTTTTGGCCGGCGAGTTGTTGGCCGTGTTCGATGCGGATGGAGCCATTTCTTAGAGACGGTGCAGCGAAAGGCGGACCACAGATCTTCTCAGCAAGACAACGACGGCGAGAAAGATTGCGATATCGTCCCTTTTGTGACTTCACACCGGTTCTGAAAGCGAGATAACGACAAGAAGTCTGTGAGTTGTCTGATCATTCCTTGGGCGGGGTTAATACTGAAGCACACGATGATTGCGGAGGGTCCAGCCACAGGCGGACCGAGGGGAGGAAAACGAAGCCGTGGCTTATGAGCCAGGAGGGGAAAACGGAATCAAAGGAATCGCAAACAATAAACTGGTCGGTCGTAAGGGTATATAGAAAAGAAAAGAAGAGAAAAAGAGGAAGGGGGAAGGGTGGAAGAGGAGAGAAGAGGGAAAGTGGTAAGGAAGAAAAGAGAAGAAAAGAAGAAGAGGAGGGGGAAATATGGATGGATGAGGAGAAAGTGAGTTTAGGGAAGTTCTGGTCGAAGGGGAAGGGGAGCGAGGGGGTGGGTATTGAGAAGCGAGTGTGAGAAAAGTCGCGCCAGGACGTGGGCACAAGCCGATGGCAGATTCGGGGCGATCGCTGAATCGCGACAGTGAGGCGGTCGTGTCCAGTGTTAGTGTTGGCGATTTGGGCGGCGAGAAAGCGCAACAACAAGGAAAGTGGGAGCAGAGGCACTGGCCAGGAAAAGAGGGGCTTCCGGGCGGGACTCACGGAGGGGAACAAGCGAACAGACTGTCTCCGGAATGTCCACGCACTGGGTCCCTTAACACCACCGCCAATTCCACCGAGGGCCAATCAGCACCCTTGTTTCCCCTTCTGACTAACTGGATCACAAAGCTAAACGTAACCTGGTTAGTACACGTCCTTCCGTACTCCGTCCCATACGACTAAATACAGCTTGCATACGGGCCAAAGTATACATCCAAACAAAGCACATCAACCAACCCACTACAGCCCACATGGACTGCTGTAAGTTCAAACCCGTCAACCCGGGTCAACCGGGGGTCTAGAAAGACTTGTTCATTCCGCCGTTTTGTTAGTCCTAAGAGTTTCTCCCATTTTTCTTTTTTGAATGTGAGGGACCATCTACATACCCACTTTTTTTTTTTACTCTATTTTCCACACAACACAACAACGCATTGGGCCCCGAAAAAGCTCGAGTGGAAAAATAAAACAAAATAAAAATCATATACCGCCATCTTCATCAAGATCTGATTATCACTTCCACAACATATCCTATAAATATGATTTTTATTCTGCACATGCATGGCATTGGGCAGCACCGACAGGACATTCATCAGACCATCCCACGGAATGAATCGGTCATTCCTTACTCATTAGGAAGTTTAAGCATCGCCTTGTCTAAGGAGACAATGTGTGTACTATCTACGTGGATGGAAGAGGGTCTCCTACTTGTATGTACTCCCGAAGTTGATATTATGAGACACAACAAAATGATCACTATAAAGCATAATTTTAATCCTTCACCTGCTCATCCCTGTTGAAGGGAAGCAATAGGATTTCTCACTCACTCACGGAGTATACTACCGTTCCTTCTCTTATATTAAAAGTCGGAAGCCTTGGACGTAGTACTATCCTACCTACTTCTTCCTACATAGCCCAAGGAAACTTTGCTCGATTGAGGATAGTCCACTCTGTAGAATTAGTATGATTACGATTTTTTTATCCATATTATTTCATTGTGGGGTTGGGCCTGGCATGAGCCCATCTTTATCTGGTATGGTATGTAACTCTGTTCGATGGGTTCCATCGGCAGGTACGTAGTGCCGTATACCAATACAAGACAGGTTAGCCGGCTCTGAAGAAGTTCCCTCCGCGATACAAAGAACCAAAGCCTTTCTCAGGAAGAGGTCAGCCGTGGGTTTTGGAGTAGTACCTCGATAAGAGATGATCCCTATCATTTATCCCATCTGACAGCGCAGAACCACAACCCTGGTACACAAAACCGCTGCGGGGCTATGAGCATCAAGTGGTATTTCTTTTATGGTCTATTTGACCTATACAAAGGCAGATGGTACTTAATGGAGTGGCAATTGATTAGAATTCTAAACTTGCAGCTTATATGTCGACAGGGTGCTCCATACGGAGTACTAATATCGGTCGGCTTAAAAGATAGGCCTACTGCTGCTCAGACAGTCAATCACACGTACCTATGGATAGCCCCTCCAAAATAAAATGGTCTTAATTTTTATTTATTGTATATTTATTTTATTTTATTTTACTATTTTTTTTTTTTGGTACTTACTCTCTCGGATTATGACCATTCTCAGCCCCTCGTCAGCGGCCCCCTTGCCCCTCCAACAAGGATCGAATAGCTTCAAATGCCACGGAAGTGTGCGCTTGCCGACCTGATTTGTGTGTTCACTCCTTTCATTTCCACCAGCGAAATTCTTTGCACACAGAATCTCGTTGAATATTTATTTTTTATTTTTATTTTTTTTTTGTCTAGACCCTCATTCCGTATTATCATTCTTCAGCTCATGTATCAAGTTCCCTTCATATTTTTTATTTATTAATAATTGCAGATCATTTCCGATGTCTTGAATTTTTTATTTAGTATTATTATTTTTTTTTTCTTAAAAAAAATAATAATAATCTTTTTTCCCTCCCCAGATAAAGGTATCTTTGCGATTAATTAAAATTTGGGAGGGGAACTTTTGACAATATGGGAACCCCTCTCTTGAACCCGCCACCGGACTTATCCTGTTAACAGCCCCTCGGTCCCCTCTTGTCCCTCTTCCCTTCTCTGGCACTGGGAAACCAAACACCCCCCCGCCTCCCCTTCGAATCCACCGATTGATCAACCCCTCCTTCGTTCCCTTGCCAGGAAAGCTGCACTGGTAATCCTACGTAATAAACCCCAGTTATTTGGTAATTCATGAATCGGTCGCCTATCACCGAGGTTGCTTTTATTCACGACCCAATCAACGCGTGACAGAAGAACCGATTGCCTAAATAGCACCTCTAAACTTGAAGCTGGTGGATCTTCGACCTTGAGCTCAGCCCTTGGTTCCAGACTCCCTCACTTCAGATGTTGGCATGACGAAGAAACTAATCTTAAACGTGAGAGCGGAGTACCTACGGAGTATAGCCCAGTACAGAGTAGTACACTCTGGAGAAGCGATCAAGACCAATTTCCATGTTTCCTGAGAGGTCGTCATTGCCAAGTCAGAAATCTTATGTGTACAGAAGTAGGCTTGGCTGATCAGCCACCCGTCATCACACAGCAATAGGAGAATATTGAACGATGTGACAGATCATCAGCCACTCCACGAAAGATTGGACGATACACGAATAAATCTTATTATTTTCTTTTTGAAGAAATTCTGCATGGTGTTTGGCAGTATTGATTTCTCTACAAATTAATATTGTGGTTTAACCTTTCGAGAAAAAGAATCAAATAAAATTCCCCGTGAAGAATATAAGGACCGAGGGCAGTGTCGACAGGAGATGTTTGCCTCTGGTCTTGGCCCCCTCCAGCTCCAGGTCAGCTGCTCCGGGAAGTGGACAACCCAAGGCGCTGCAAGTTTCGCCTGTGCACATTCCCAGCATAGGGCCCGAACAGCAGCTCCCTCTGCCCGCAAGGTCAGTCTTAAGACAATCAGTCAGGCTGCATAATAATGTAACCAATATTATCCAGCTGCACCGCCTGGGCTTGAAACAACGAGCAGTGTCTTTGTCTTCCAGGAGACGGTACGTCAGGTGAGGTCAAGTTTCCTTTTGCGCCTGCACGACTACATCATCAGATACAGTTTTGTTACTGTTTTTGGAAATCCAGCATCCAAGCAGACGGTGCATTCTGAATACCTGATTGCATCTGCATCAGTGGCATGGGGGATCGGTTCTGTATAGGGACATAGTTTAGTTTTAGTTTCGGGTTAGTTGGCTTCGGTCAGTTGTGGCTGCCTACAAGCCAGCAGTCGCAATCGCGCCTAATCCCAGCCTCACTCGGAGACGCGCCCTCGTTCCGCGTGCCCCCAAGAGAGCTCCACAGTCGATGGCACAGATTACAGGGTACATCCCTCTCTTTCCCAGGTCAGATGAGTCGTTGCTGGTGTCATCGTCCCTAATTCGGCATCCGTGTGCTTGTTCATCCCCCCTATTTTTAAAGTTTCTTAGGCTTTACAAGCTAAGTCATGATGGTGACTGGCTCGATGGCTATAGTCTGCCTGAACTATTAGATCGAATACATTTTTGGATGGTTTTATTATTCATTTCATGGTGAACGAAGACAGCTCTGGAGAAATAAAGTATGTACAAAAAATCAATCAAAAAGACTCCGTAAAATCCCGGCATACCAGTGGGCCCTCCAGTACTGAAGGGGTTGGGAACCCGAGGAGCCCGTCAGACACGGTTAGTTACTAGGGTAACGCACATGACTTCAGAGGTACCACAAGGACGATGTACCTTACGCGACAACGTCACTGTCACTTTTGTGTTCACACGGATTGTATACTTCACGAGAATACTTTCTATCCTGATAGTGGCTTTCAGCGCGTTGAATGGATTTACCCCTCAACGGGGCTTGCTTTGTCGCAGACTCCACGACCTGGCATCACCGCTATCCCACCTACTTTTGATACTCGACAATCAGCACCCACCGCAGTCTTCAGATGCAGGACCCATATATCCACACTTTTCCTTACCGATAACTAAGCTGTTAGTTTATCACTAAGACTAGTTATGTATGTACGTACTTTTTTCTTACCTTCACCGCTTTAATCTGCCAGCGTTGTTGAAGGAGAGAGCGGTGAGCTGGGAGGCTTACTCTTTTTGAGAAGGAACTTTGCGCCTCGGGTCAGACAGAAGAACCTATTATTCGGCCTTCTCTGATGCGCCCAGCCTCTTAAATTCCTTCAAGCTTGAACGCTCCTTCACGAAAATCTATCCTGGCAACTGGCGGGATTTTTTTCTTTTTTTTTTTTTTCACTCTGACTCTCTCTCTCTTCGATCCACTTCCCGGTCATGCAGCGGTCCGGCCCAGAAACGCCCAGGATACGGAATTGATGACCATGGGTTCCTGTTGGTGGATAACTAGGTTTTGTGTCGAGGATATGGCGGCTTTCTCGAAGATGTCGGTATTGATTGATAGATATTGCATGCTTTGTTGTACAGATCCAATTGTGGCCTCAGGATAAGAGAGAGACCCGATGTTGAAGGGCCTGCGGACTCCGTCCCATCACTCTCAATCTCGGCTCGCGCACGGGACCAGAAGAAGAAAAATAGTGCAAAATCCTCCGTGCATACCGATCCATCCATTCATGATCGATCATTTCCAGTCCAGGCTCATATTCTCCGGGTGTGTGGTCCCCCATTCTAGTAATGATTCGGTGGGTTTCGCTTCGGGTGGTTTTATATTATGCCTATTACTCACTCGTTGTTTCTCTTTGATCCTCGGATCATCATCATCACGTTCATCCTATTCATTGCCATTCCAGAAAGGGGCAAAGAAGGAAAAAAGAAAATGGTCAAAGTTAAAATCTGAAAGAGCTGGAAACCTTGAGGTCTCTCCTGCGCTCAACAAGCGAGTTGATTTGCTGCAGCTACCCGTCTTTATCATCCCTACGGTCCTATAGTTCGGTACGTAACCACATAGTCCCAGATGCAATAATGGATCTACGGCCAGTCGATCGCTCCAAAAGAGTGGAAAGCCCAAAGAAGATAAATTTTTGAATCATGAAATTCCATCTCTCCCGATTTCTGTCCCCACCAGGTACCGTTGCAGGATTCCAGGAACCTCTTCCCCGAAGACCCCGTCCCTACACTAGTAAGCATCGGTAGCATGCAAACCGCCTTTTGGCTGCCGTCCCGGCAACTTCGTGAGAATTTCTGGATATGAACAAATGCAGGTTAGCGGAATCCCCCTCTCTTCCTTCTCCCCCTTCGCCGCGGGGGGGGAAGAATATCGGTCTGGAATTCCTTAAACAGGCCATCGCCATGGAGTCGGTGAGCGCTGACCATCAAGTTTGGGCCGATTCTTTCCATATGGCGCACGTTGTTGGGGATCTTTTTTTTTGCATTGTTAATTCCTTGACCGCTTCTATGTATATTACACATGGCAGTGAGAAACTGGACTGTTGGGTTTCGTTGGTCTCCACTGGTTAGTAAGGGCAAGAGAAAAAGGAAAATATATCCAGAGCCACTCCAGATCGAAAGAAGAAAAGCATTAGAGTAAGAGGGAGTCGCCGCCCAATTTCAGTCTTTTTCAGTTAGTGTAGCTTCTCTCACATTTCTCTCGTACCCCAGTTCCTTTTTTCAGCCTTTTCTTTTCTTTTCTTTTCTTTTTTTTTTTTGGGAACTCCTTCAATCATTTTCTGTGCGGCTTCGCTAACCTGGATCGAAACCTAAGTCTGCCTCAGGCTAAACTAATTTACATCGCATAAGGGGATCCATATCCACTATCCAATAGGTTCTAGAATACCTTGAAGCTCACCAAATGTATATTATAGCACATTATTATTTCCTTGAGGCATTCAAATGTAGCTTTTGATAGAGCTGAACCATGGAATCTACCCGTCTGTCCACAATTGTGCCAGTGGCGTTCCATGGTTCACACCCGCGGGACTTGCATGTCAGGCGTAAAGTTGTCTTCATAAGACGACAGGCTATCTGGCGTCTTACTGTAGTCGGCGGGTGAGACCAACTCTACGTGCATTCGCTTGTCTCATTCTCTGTGTACTTGGTAACTCGTAATATGTTTGCATGGGTGGATAAATAATGGTTGATTCTACGGAGTATATGTGCTTTTTTGGCGCCTAGTGGGATTAGGTAGTCTTCTGGGAATTATATATTTGTGAAGTAGCTTGCCAAATATAAACACGTATCTATGGAAGAATGCCTGCTACATATACTAAGCTACCAGGATGTATATTAAGACGACCTTCTTTTCTCCCTTAGATCTAGTTCTCACAATATTTGTCTAATTTTGAGGTTTGTGTTCAGTTCTTTGTCTTCAGCAAGTCGTACTCGATCTCTAGAAGAGGTTACTGCATGTTTCAGAGAGACAACTGGTATCCCGCTTTTCCAAATTGTTACTCGCTCATCCACAAGGTATGCTAATAATAATAATAACAATAATAACATACATACATAACGTTTCACAACATAATCATTACCGTCTTGTGAAGAATTTACCACCGCACAGGCAATCATTGATCCATCAAACAAGTGATCGCGAAAAAAAAAAAAAAAAAAAAAAACCCAAAAAAAACCACCTCACGGAACCACCAACACCAACATCACCCAACTGGTTCGCTAATCACCGATATACGTCTCCCACTCCCCACCAGAAACGGCCGATTGGAATCAGAGAAGGCTTCTGGAAGTCGATTCTGCGACATCCGGCACAACCTCTGGACCAACCGTCGTCTCCCGGGAAGTTGGGAAGGGGGGCCGGAGCAAAGCCAAAAAAAAAGGGGGAGGGGCAAGAGCGCGCGCAAACTAGAGTTTCACTGATTCAGCCTTGAGACTATCGAAATTTCCCTGGTTCATTTCGGATGCATGCTCGCTCGCTTGCCTGTATGGGGAAGGACACGACAAGGTATAGAGAGTATGTTGGATTTTTTTTTTTTTTTTTTTTTTTCGGGGATGGTTTTTCGTAAGGGGTAGTCTTGCGGGATGATCGGATGGCCTCTTTGGTCCGATAGGTTTGTTCCTGGGAAGGATCCTGGTGTTGTGTGTGAGACATGGATGGAGATACTAGGTTACCTGGGAATCTTAGTTATTTGCCGCTCCCATGGCTGTGGTTGCGTGTCGTGGACTTTTCCGGTGTTTATGTATACTTCGAACCTATCGAACTTAGAGGTGCGTACGGAGTTTTGGGGATTTTGTACTCCGTACGACTACCTTATGAATAGGCCACTCGTCTGGGACTCACTAAATAGATAGCACTGCCCCATAGCCTGTACCCATTGATTTAACCCTCTAGTAGTTCCAGTAACTAACTTAGGCAGCCGTCGTTTCCGTCAGGGGGATCTACGATTAGTTAGGAGAGCAACGGCTACATCGGCACTCACTCCATTCGCCTGCCCCATTCACTCCATCGTGGGATAGAGATTATCAATTGCATGTGAGGGGCTTGCTCTTTCCCCCTCCTCACCCCTCTCACGATGGGGATTTCTCTTGCTAATCTTTTATCTATCTTGGTATGTGTTCCTGATTATCAGTCCCCCACGCCGATTGACTCTATATTGGACGCTGCAAGGAGAGAGATTACGGTGTATATCAGGTTTTGGTTGGGGTCTCAGGGCTTTTCTTTGGCTTCGAGGGGTCCCATGCTTGTCTTGTCTTGCTTTGGAGGAATTGTTGTGCTATGGTTTTTTTATGAGGGTTTTGTGCTCTTAGGGGCTGGTTTAAGCCTGTTGTGTGTTTTGATATAGTGTGCTGGGTGACAATTGTCGTAGGCCGAGGGCTGTACTTCATTATCAGGACTCCGGAGTAGGTCGTCCATAGTCATCTGCAAGTATTAGAAGAGTAGACGATAGTTAAATGGATATAGTTCAAATGCAGGGGAAACCAGTGCCCTATCGGCGCCATTGATATATATACAAGGTCTATCTTGAGGTTATGGTGTAGTGACACTGTACCTTGGGCACAATCAATGAGTTGCCATGCCATCCCAAATACCTTCTACAAATACGATAACAACCACTTAGTAAGATCCAATGGTCCACAGCAGACATACATCGGGATTCGTACGCAGGCTTTCTCTACTTCTTGAGAGCGGTAAGTAGACATACAAGATAGCCTGCAGCTCGACACCTATTCAAGGAAACCCACATGGAAGAGAGATTGGGTTACACCATTCAACTTCAGAAAGAATTTTCTGCAATACTTCTTTCAGCTTTTGACAGTGGCGATGCACTGGCCATTCGCGGACTATCCTTCAATGTTCATGTCAACTCATGATTCGATTAGATCACCTCGATCGTGGTGCTTAACCCAGTAATAGAATGACATATAGTAACAACCAACGCATATCTCTATCTATGGACCGGGAAATGATTTTAGACCCAAAGACTCCTGCATTCTAAGACCCCGACTACTTTGGATATTGGTACAATGTATGTACTATACCTAGTGAGACCATGCATGATATTGAACGTTTCGCCGACGAACCCCCAGAAATTAAGCATTGGTGTCAGACATTCTCTCCATGGCGTCTGTCATAGCGAGCTATCCCTCTGGGCATGCTTTTGATTGAGCATACTCTTCCTCCATGAGTTTCTCAGCGACCCAGGGCTTGTGCATAGTCAACCATCACGCCAGAGGACGGAAGCGTAGAGTTATATAGAACGTCGATGACGACGACCGAGGATGCAGGTCTACTCAAAGGTATGACGAGACGCCACCGGCGTCTCTAATTGCGCAGCGGAGCGAAGCATAGCAAGCGTTATAAAATTATTAGAATAGGACATGGTCGTGTGAGTTCTATATGTGATTGTGAGCTGCTACTCCTAGATAAGTAGCCAATCATGCCTCTGATACCTTTTATTGCTACCTTATTCCTGGCGCCAGAGATATATAGAGTTTATTATATTCCGTACGTAGTGTTGCTTCGAGGCTCGGACCTGTTTGTGTCTTAGATTAAGACTGCCACAGTAGGAATCCACGAAGCTGCTCACTGAAACGGGGTTACTTCCAAGCGATGATAGTGAGATGGAGGGTGTAGTTTATTATTTTCTAATAATCACTTACATAGTGTACATCTATGACTCTGTAAAATTAAGAATAACCATCTACACCTTTGTTCTAGCACACAATATATCAACATACGTCGTCAACAAACGAAGGATATAGATATAGAAAACACCACCCCAAGCAATACCACCCACCACACAACAGAATATCCACCTGATGGAAACCACGCACACCTCCCTCCCTCACAAATTCCCTCAATAACCATTCCCATACTTCCAAGATCCCCAAACCCAAACCCAAGCCCTAAAACCTCGTATCCCCATCCTTCCCCCACCCCTGAACCAAACCCGATATAACCTCTTTCGCCACCCCAGCTCAACGCACCTGCCCTTCCAACTTTCATAATCTGCAAAAATACAAAGTACAGTATCTAAGAAAATCCCAATACCCCAATAAAACCCCTCTCCACAACCAATCTTACGAATAATCAAACATATAACGCATGGACCACCAGAACAATGCCATGGTCTCAAGGTTAGGGAGGTCAAAGCTGCGCAGGGCAACCACGGTATACGTCAATGGTGTGGGCTCAGTGTGTCAAAGTGAATGCGAAACAAGGCCATGCGTAAAGTGTATTTAGGTCGGGCGTTGAAAACACGTGGTTTTGGGGGTCAGTGCTGGGGTTTGGATCTGGCGGAATGGTTTGGGTGGGTTTGGCTGTTTGAGGTGTTAATCCGGTATTGGAATATGGGTGCATGGAAGATTGAGGAGTTGATTCTATGATATTTAGGGTTATTTTCGGGGGTTAGTGGTTGGCAATCGAAGATGTATTTGCTGGAGAGGAATTAGCGGGCTTGGAATGATGTCGTAGATCTAGGTATACATTTCCTATGGTGGATTACTCTGGATTTACAAGAAATTAAAGCCATGTGGAAACGAGATTTATGATTAAAAGTACGAGAAATAGAAGTGAGCATTTCACACTGACTAAGATAGCCCTGAAGGTACTTTTCATGCCATATCTTGGGAACTCCTCAACAGACGCAAATCATTGGTCTGGAGGCAAGGAGTGATGACAGAAAACCGGGAATGAGACCACAGGACCATTATAGGTTGAAAGGATTGGGGGTATGTTCTCCAAAATTGAGAGATCCAATTTCCATTTCAGGGATGTAGTTGAGAGCTACCGGATTAAAATTCCGGCTGGAAAGGTACGGAGATACTTCCTATCTATCTATATATCACAAATGGATGTCTGCAACGGCTCAATAGGAGATACGATCTGATAGGATCGACTTTGAACGCCGCAAAATATCGCCCTATGTGGCGTGTGACAGCTCACCTGCAAGGTGGTATGACTTGCTTTGACGTTGCGTTGTGTGTCAAGTGACTCGCGGACTTCTTCGATTCTGGTTCTGCGAATCGATAGTGGCTGTTCAAATCCGTGGAAATGTGGGTTGGACCGTATATGACATGATGAATGGGGAAAACTACTTGTAGTATGCTGTGGAGGTCACATGTGGTGCATATTGGATATTGAACTATGTCCAGGAATCTCAAAATTAAGGTAATCCGAGAAAGGAAGCCCGATACAGAAACTTTGCTCATCCGCCAATTATTATCGCGGATCACACAAAGAAGGTTAACTAATTAACTAATAGTAAAGGCTCACAAGTTCTAGAAATCCTAAAAGCCCCTGATCTGCCGCTTGTATCGTCATAAGTTGTACAGCCTGAACGGTCTTGGCTTCGTTCCGTTGGAATTGACACGAAACTCCAGTCTCCGGGCTACCCAGGATTACATCACTTTATTCTGTTCCGTGGGTAAGCTCGTATAATGTGAATAGGAATGTATAATCACTTCTCCGAAGAGGGTTGCAGGCCACCTCTATATGTGATTGATGGACGAACGATGGTGTGGGGCCTGTATGAGTAAGCTATCATCAGCATAGTTTAATAGGGCATTGGCATTGGTATTGGCAGTTTTATAACATGTGCCGTTTCAATGTGGACGGCTACCCATAATCCTAGTGGAAGATACTTAGCATTTCCCCCCGAGTGACTTCAACTCGGTGTTTACTATCCGAGATTGTCGAGTGGCACTGTGGTTGATCACGATTTGGGTGCCTCCATGCGACCTGCCGCACATAAAGAGGCAAATCATGGACTATACATCGCATCGAATTGTGATTAATCCTCCGGAACGACACACGCACAGGACATTCCTCATGCATAGTATGCATATAACGATAGGAAAGCGGATTACCAAGTATGGTTTAATTATGCGTTAAATTCTAGACCTCTCAAGGTTCATGGATGACTACAGGTATAATACGCGGTTTTGTAGGTCGACGGTGGTGCAATCCTGCCTCCCGCGCGTCCAGACGGTGTGAGTGTTGGCAATTATTGAAGTAATACGTAGTAATATATATGATTCTACTAAGACCCATTTCATTTCGTAAAGTCCCCATCAGTCGAGACTGTTGCGGAGTATTTTTGGAGTGCGACGCGAGCTAAAATTCTCCACAGGAAATGGAGACAACAAGTGGTTGAAAATACCAGTCGGTCAGATACCAAAGATTACGAAGGAGACTGTCCTGTTCTTTTTTCCCTTTTGTATTTTATTTATACTGTTCCGTTCTTTTTTGCAAGGAGGAGACAACAAGATCATGTTTACGGAGTATCTACTTTTGCCTTAAAAATAAAAATAAACAAAAAAATCCATTTCCCCAACTCCATATATTGCACAGCCCAATCACCGAAAGTCAAGAGTAGCGGGAATGCGGCCGAAACCACCTAGGTTCCAGCCTCTTTGTTCCGAGAACCAAGGCTACAGACGCGCTTTTAAATCGTAGAGTGACCCGTTAAGAAAGATGGAGCAATGAGGGTTGGGTGTTTGTGGTACGGGGAACTGGTTAGACTTTTTAGTGACCAGCAAGCGCCTATCAACGCATCAAAGTCGACAGTTTATGCATGGCCCGTAAAGTCAAAAGGTCAAGAGGGCTCGTGCTGGCTGCTGGTCCGCGTCTCTGTACTTGACCTTATTTGGTTTCGTTACCTGTATTCTACCAGGTACTGCGTATGTGAGGCTTATGGCCTACACACACGGGGCGCAGTAGTTGACTTGGGGCAATTTATAGCCCCCAAGCTGAATGTTTGTGGCGAAAAAAAGAGAAAAAAAAAGAAAAAAAAATATCTACCCCAACCAACAAGAGTGTATCCCTACACCTTGCCCGATATTATTATTCCCTATCAGCTGAATCCAGGTGAGAAAAGGGCCAAGAATAGAACTAAAAGAAAAATCAAACAAAAAGTGCCCCTCTCACCTTTCGTTGACCAGCTGTATCAACCGAGGGTAGATAGGTACTAGGTTAGGTATCCTAACAGGTAATTGGAGTACGAGGAAATGGGCAGGTACGGTAATTTAGATAGGGCGGTATTGAAAATTACAGACCTACTTCCCGTAAGTAGGTAGTACTCTCCGTAGTAGTAATCGGTGGACGGACCAGGCGGTATTGCAGGTTGTCACTTTCCTCCACTCACACCCAGTCCATCTGCCCACCACCCGAATGGACGGACTGTTGCGAACCTCCCCTAAAACTCCCTGAGACCCTCTCTTTCACTCGCTCTCTTCCTCTCCTGGACGGTCTCTTGCTCTCCTTTTCCTTCAATTTCTACATCCTCAGTGCACTTCGCTCACTCTTCCTTTCAGTCTCACATTGAAACAAAAGATCTTCATTGGACGCCATATCCGGGGCCCATTCGAACCGTGTCCTTGCCACTTTTATCGTTATCGCCTTGTGCCCTGCCACCACCCGTGCGGTGAACCCACTATAGCCTGCTACATTTATCCTGCAGCGTGATTCTGCAACCAACCCGCACCGCATTCCCCTCCTAACGGATCCTTCGACACTTACTTGCCGATCTAGTCATGACCAACGCCTTTCGTTAAGCTCGTCCAGCCGTTTGTCGCATGGGACGTAGCGTACTGATTACCAGTTTATCTTTTCTCCCTCCCCCGCCCCTTACCGTCTCCCCGTTTTATTTAGTATTTACCAAAGTCAATTGGAATGCACGACACCCACTTGACAGAGCCATTGGTTATCGACACTAAATCGGCGCTGGCGACCAAGACGGCCACTACTATCACAACTACGTTTGCATTCACCGAGGAGCAGGCGTCTACTCCCGCGTCTGCCCCCGGGAGTCGCAGTCGTGGAAGCAGCCTCTCTTTCCACTTTCGAGATAAGAGTGTCGATCAGTCGCCTCAAGGACATCAATCACCCGTCAAGATGACTGCCACTGGACGCTTTACTCCCAGCCCCGAACCAGCACCTGCTCTGTTCGTGCGGGCCATGTATGACTACGATGCCGACGATCATACCAGTCTAAGTTTTCGGAGAGGGGATATCATTCAGGTTCTGAACCAACTGGAGACCGGCTGGTGGGACGGAGTGATCAACAATAGCGTCCGGGGCTGGTTCCCTAGCAATTACTGTACCGTCATTACAGACCTCAGCGAGCTCGAGGAGCATGTATCGAACGGCCGTGAAGATGGAGACATCAGTGCGGAGTCTGGCCTGGGGGAGGAGTATGAGGAGGACCGTGAGGAAGACGAGGTTGACTCTGCAGGAAATCCGCGCGATTCACAACCGATACTGCCTATTGAAGGCACGGGACCTTCAAATGAGCAGGAAGAGGCCGCCTTCTGGATTCCGCAAGCGACCCCCGATGGCCGTTTATTCTACTTCAACACTCTCACCGGCTATAGCACCATGGAGTTGCCGTTCGAAAACCCCTCTACGAACGAAACAGGTCCTTACGACCGCAATACCTTTTTTGTGCCCAATCAGACTAGACCTCCCCCAGAACTGATGGCCCGTGGTTTCGAACGAGACGAGGATGACTATGATGGCTCCGCGTCCGAAGCGGAGGGCGAATCCCTGATGCTTGCTTCTCAGGATTCTATGTCTCGGAGACGGCAGTCCTATATCGACGGCGTATCCCCTGCAACTTCCATGGATTCCTTACACCCACCGTCTACCACCAAATCGATTAACGAAGGGAAGAGCTCGTTTCGAAGCCTGTCTAAGGCTTACAGCTTTGGAACCGCCGCTAGCAGTACTACATCGCTTTCCGACAATTTCCACAGACCTTCTATTTCTTCGGAAGCGCCCTCGCATTTTGTCGACGATGGTGCATCGGCCCCCCTGACGTGGCCATTACTCGTTGATAACATGCGCAATGCTGTCGAGGCCTATCGTCAGACCCTATCGAACGGTGATCGTTCAGAATACGTGAGAAAGGCCGAAGATATATCCGACCATCTGCGTATGCTTCTGGCTGCTGGTTCCGATACCACGGACAATCATTCCGGAAACCCGTCGATTATCTCCACAAATAAGGCTCTGTACCCTCACTTCAGGGATATGATGTCGAAATTCTCCAAACTAGTGCTCTCATCGCACATTGCTGCGGCTGACTGGCCAAGTCCGGATTCCGTCAACAAATGCCTACAAGAGGCAGATGGGGTTATGCAAGGAGTATATGGTTATGTCGATATTGCAAGACAGCAACGTGGTGACTTTATTCAGCGGATCGTTCCGGGCTTTGTGGTAGGTAGCTGTTCAGGCGGCGGCTGGCAGAATAACGGTGTCACTCTCAATGATTCGGGCCCGACGTCGTTCTTAGACCAGGATGGAGGGGACACTCGAGCTGAGCCAGCAGTGCCACTCGATGCAGCGCTTTTGGATCATATTGACATTCTGCGGAGGTCATTTGTTGGAAGCATTCGCCGACTAGAGGAGCGGTTGTCACTCAACCAGAAGAAGATCGTCACGGTTGCTGAGCATCACGAAATCGGCGATTCTGTCTCCGCTGCTGCTATCAAGGTCATCGAGCAGTTTCGTCCTTGGATCTCTTCTGTCGAGTCGATCAATCTGGCGCCTTTGGGAACTAGTTTCCAAAATCCACAATTAGTCGATTTTAGTTTACAGAAACAACGAGTTTACGATGCGATTGCCGATTTTGTCCTTGGCTGTCAGGCTGTCACAAGCCCTCTGGGCGATGAATGGGCTGAATTGCGCGGAGATTCTCTCGAGGATCGTTTGAACGCCGTGCGAGGTGTTGCTAGGCAACTTGAGAACTACGTTTCCCAAATCGGTTTCTCCCTGTCTCTCCTGCTCGAGCAGATTCCCGAGTCTACTGCAGCTTTCCGTAGCGAGAGTCGTCTGGGCCAAGATAACGAGGGTTTGAAGGCTCCGCATAGCCGTGCGGACTCCCAGGCTAAAATTGCGGACGAGTCAATTGGAATCCCATCTTCTTACTCCGTCAATCCCCCCCATGACAAAGTGCGACGCAATATGGACAAGGCACAGAGATTCTTCGGACAAGCCCCGCCATCTGCAATCACTCGAGAACCAATCCGGGAACCTGTCCGGGAGCCGGAAGAAACGCCTTGGTTTTTGAAGATGGATCATGAAGGCGAAGTATTTTACGATACCAAAAACGATGTGCCTACCTTGAAATGCGGCACGCTAGCAGGACTAGTGGAACATCTGACTCGACATGACAAACTTGATGCTTCTTTCAACAATACTTTCCTCCTTACCTACCGTTCCTTTACAACTGCCGCCGAGCTCTTCGAGCTGCTAACTCAGCGCTTCAATATCCAGCCCCCGTTCGGTTTAAACCAAGAAGAGATGCAGATGTGGATCGACAGAAAGCAAAAGCCTATTCGATTCCGTATAGTCAATATCCTCAAGAGCTGGTTTGAAAACTTTTGGATGGAACCAAATGATGAAGCGCATATGAAGCTTTTGGAACGTGTCCATGCTTTCACCAAGGATTCCATCGCTACTACAAAAACTCCGGGTTCGCCTCCGTTGCTGACGGTTATCGAGCAACGTCTTCGTGGTCAGGACACGACTGTCAAGCGGCTTGTTCCTACGCAGGCGGTTCCCGCCCCGTCTCCTATTGTCCCGAAGAATATGAAGAAGCTTAAATTTCTGGATATTGATCCAACAGAGTTTGCTCGCCAGCTTACAATCATCGAATCACGTCTTTACTCCAAGATTCGACCTATAGAATGTCTGAATAAAACGTGGCAAAAGAAAGTTGGGCCGGACGAACCGGAGCCTGCAACTAACGTGAAAGCTCTCATCCTTCATTCCAACCAGCTGACAAATTGGGTTGCGGAGATGATCCTCAGTCAATCTGATGTCAAGAAGCGTGTGGTTGTTATCAAGCACTTCGTTAACGTAGCAGATGTATGGATATTTCCCCATCACATTGATGGCTATTGCTGACAGAACTATCAGAAATGCCGTGCTCTGAACAATTACTCTACACTGACATCTATTATCTCTGCACTCGGAACGGCGCCAATCCATCGACTTGGCCGGACATGGGGCCAAGTTAGTGGACGCACGTCCACAATTCTGGAGCAAATGCGTAAGCTCATGGCTAGCACGAAGAATTTCGGTGAATATCGTGAAACTCTGCACTTAGCAAACCCGCCATGCATTCCATTCTTCGGTATGAGATTAGGACTGATCGACCTAATACCACTATCCTCCGATTTTAGCTGCGGAGACTAATCCCAATTTCCCTAGGTGTTTACTTGACCGATTTGACCTTTATCGAAGACGGTATTCCATCTCTTACGCCATCAGAGCTGATCAACTTCAACAAGCGTGCCAAAACCGCGGAAGTAATCCGAGACATTCAGCAATATCAAAACGTCCCCTATCTCCTGCAGCCTGTCCCTGAACTGCAGGATTACATTCTCAGTAATTTACAAGCGGCGGGCGACGTGCATGACATGTACGACCGGAGTTTGGAAGTGGAACCCAGAGAACGGGAGGACGAGAAGATTGCGAGGTATGCTACTACAGCAGGTAGAGACATGAGCACCTTGGCTATTGCGACCTTGGCCATGTCGATGCGATAATGCTTTTCCTTCTTTTATTTTTTCCATGTGCACCTTCCCACTTGATGCCCTTTTTTTATGACCTTGTGTGTTTGCTTGGTGTTTAGGCCTGGTGTGGCGATACCCATATCTTTTTCAGATACTATTTCTCTTTGAAGGACGTCTTGATTGATTGATTGATTGATTGATTACATGATGACTAACTGTGTTTTTCCCAACGCGTAGACTGCTGTCTGAATCGGGCTTCCTGTAAGCCGGCGAACTCCGTTTCTCCGTCGGGGTATAGATTGCGATACGTGGAGACCCCTGTCGCTGCATCCACTATGCACGTGCCGAGTTGTACCGCCGGCAACCCGACAAAAGTTTATCATGAGCGATCACCCACACCAATGGCTTCCATGCGAGGTGATTGGCGGCGATAGCATCCCTGGCGTTTACGACGACTCACTAGAACGACGCCGTTTCCCATCTATGCGACCGTGCGAAAGAAGGATCAGTCGACTACGGCCTTATCAAATTACATGACGCGGCATGTTGGAACTTACCTGGGGTCGACCTGCAAGACATACTTGCGTTGCTCGAGAGCGCTTGTGCACCTTTGCTCTAACCGCTCACCAGAATTCCTCGACGTCTCCTTCAAGCTGTTTTGATCTTATATGACGCGACGTTCATGCCCATGCTATTAACTAAACCGAAAGGTTACGGCCCGGGCGCCATATGATCATTTGATCATTCTGAGCATCTTGTCCCAGTTTGGTCTATCGACAGCCTGACAAGAAAGAGAAAATTAGAAAAAAAAAAATAAAATAAAATGGACAAGTTGAGGGGGCCTCGAATATTATACGAAAACTCCCCTCCGACTTAGCGCCCCACAGCTACTTGAATCGCATGTGATAGAACGATTGCAGCGGAAGCTTGTGATACCCTCGACCTGTTTTTGTTTATTGTCTTTTACCTTCACTTTTGCGGACGGGACCACTCTTTTCCTTCAGACGCTACCAACTTAACCCCGGCACGGCTTTACTATCTCTTTTGTTCTTTCCCGCCTTCACCACCTCGGCGGTCGTACAGTCCGTTGGTTTTTTCTTTATCTTATCATCTACCCGCGTATATTCTTGACCGTGTCGATCGTTTTGTACACTGTTTTCCTTTTTTTTTTTTTTTTTTTTTTTTTTTTTTTTTTTTTTTTTTTTTTTTTTGGGTATAAGATTGTCGTCCGTGTCTTGGTTCCCCCGGCTTCATGATAAGGGTTTCCACGGGACTGGGGTCTCGTTCACGATGGATAATGATACGTCACGACATAGGATAACATTGTATGTTGTCCCAGCTTTGTACACTCCATGTGTCCTTCCATTCTGTTCTTGTACCTACCTGTTTAACTACGAAGGTATATACCTTTAGTCTTATGTGCTACATCTATAAGAATATATTGTACAAGAAAAATGCGCAAGTTTAGCCAAGATATCTCGTCATAATTCGTCGTGTTGTTCAGGAGCATCTAATAAATATTGGCCCAGAAGCCTTTGACACCGAAAAAACACTCGGTAGAAGCTTAAAACCCAATGTAGAGTCGTACCACCAGTCATAATATCTGTTTCACTTGAAACTCTGGCTGTTTATGTCTCTGCCTTGCTATTCTCGCCGATACCTTGGAAGAGCTTCATCTTGACTTCGGCTGCTAGAAGGCCCTTCACTTCCTCTGATACAATTCGCTGCCCATCTCGCACGACTTTCTCCAACTGTTGATCTTTCACAGCAGTAGTTCCGGCCCGTGAGGGATTGCTTTCAATACCACGCGCGGCCCGTCTAACTTTCTGGCTAAGATCCATCATCTGTTTGCTACCATAATCACGGGTGGTAAACAGAGGGCTCTGGCTGAGGGTAGCCACCCAATATTTGTTCCACAGAAGTGACAATATCTCGGTATCAAGAGCGCTCTTAAAATGCGATACCTCAAGTGAATAGTAATGGGATGCATGCGCTCCAAAGTCCTCCGCTTTGTTAAGCGGTACGGTCTGATACTCATCATCCTCTTGCTCTTCTTTGGGTGGCGTGTAATCCTTAGGGAACGTTCTGAAAGCCCCGATATCTACCTTCCCTGCCGAAATGGTCCGCTCTGGATCAATGACCACGGCAACAAACGGCCCGCCGAGCTGCTGCATATCCTGCGTGGTGACATCGATCCCCGATAACCAGCAACCATAACCAGGGTGACTATGATACCAGCCGACTGCATTTTCCATCCGTTTTGCATCCCGACATGCCTCTAGATAAGACACCATATATTCGTTTGCTTCGTCTTGGGCGTTCACTCGAGTCTCTGTTCCTTCGACGGGGAGGCGAAATGCATCAGTTACAACAAAGGTTTCTGGCAGGATGTAGCCTTGCATTAGGCCCATGACTTCGAGGGACCCGCCCGAGCGTGCATGCATCACCATCTTTAGTAGCGCAACGGCGGAGATCCGTATCGATTTGAAATAGTGGGGGTCTCTGGCCCATGGGCGCTCCGCGCTGAGGGCTTTGTGTGTTTCTTCATCGTACCGATAGAGGGCGTCTCGTTGGGGATCTATGAGGCTGATGGCATTTTCGAGCTCTGGAATGGGAGGAAGCTAATTGTTAGTAATGGATGTTGTCTTTGATAACATTGGGGTAATGCTTGGTACGAACCCCAAGACTGCTGTGCAGCCTTCTGCATGATGATGATGATGATGAATGGGTGGTTTTTTGGGCAACAAGGAATGATGGGGCTGCGGGGTGAAAAGAAAGGATAAATAGTAGTCTATAGAAGGATTTGCGGAGGAGTTAAAACAACTGGCTGACTTCGGTGACGTCTGATCTATCAGATCATGATCTACTTTAAAGCAGCAGTTGGAGCCCAGACGTGGAGAGGGCGGTGAGTCTAGCTATGGCAGAACAGAGCGGTGAGGAGCTGAGTGGACTGTTGCTGGAGTAACGGAACGCCATCAACAGGGGCCGGGAGGGAATCTCGATCGCGGGCTGCATCTTGAGGGAGCGGCACTATTCTTATTATTGTTCTATCCCATCGCATCACTGCCTCGATTGACTCCCCCTTCCCCTCTCCACCCTTGCATACGTCTGCAAGTGCTCAGCTATACATAAAGCCTGCGGGTAGCCCCTTGTTCTCGCAGATGACATCCGACCTCTGAGTCAATCGTTTGCTATTGTTGCAGATTCACGCTGGTGGATTTTGGTGTCTCACAGCTGCAGTGCTGAAGGCGCATCGCCGCCAGAGACTACATGATCACGAAACCTTAAAGGCGTGAATATACTCTCGTTATATTTCTTTTGTTAACTTAAAGCGCCGGCACACGCGATGGCCGTCGACACTAGCTACTTGACCACCCAGGTCAATAATATTGTCGCTCAGCTACATGGCATCTATGATGAGATCGGCGTTCCGAGCCATGAGCGCGACTCTCGAGAGGCAGAGGTTGGCTTACTTAACACTTCCTTGTTTGTCAACTGATACTAACAAACAACTATAGCTGTTCAGTGCTCTGTCCGATACTCTAAACAATCATCTCAAGCTTGTTGACAAGTGAGTTCTACCGGTGTTTCAGCCTGATGAAAAGGCCTCTCGGGTGTTAACGGAATCAATAGTGAGAAAAATGAGATGACAGAGGAGGCGCGACAGCTCATCATTGCAATCGAGCAGATGGAGGAGTCTTTAGAGGATGAGAAGGCCAATGGCGAGTATCAGCTGAATCGCGATGACTTGCGTATAACTTATCCTCTTAAACGCTGTCTCGCTTTCCTGCGCGAAAAGCATAATGCACTCAGCAAATTACATCACGAACGCTTTGAACAGGTTAAGAGTATGTTATGCTGTCGCCAAAGATCGAATGGCTTGCTAACGACACGCAGAACTCGTTGTGGCCCTCGAGTCATACTCATCACACCTCGAAGCTTCTTTTGTTACCATTGCTCTTCCCCCTACAGCTCCAGGATCTTCGATATCGCCTAGTTTCAACTTGTCTCGCCAATACGTGGATGATTTGAACGACGAGTTTTCAAGAGTTTATGAAGAATATGAGCGACGTTTCGAATTCGTCAAGACCACTTGCGAAGAGATCATCAAGCTCTGGGCTGAGCTCGGAACCCCTCAGGCCCAAACCGATTCCAACATCGTTAAGCACTACAAAGAATCCCCCGAACAGTTGGGACTTCACCAATCCGACCTGGCCCATTTGAAGGCAAAGCGAGAAAAGCTGTTGGAGGAGAAAAGAAGTCGGGAGCGCAAGATCGCAGAACTCAGAAATGCCGTGGAAGCACTTTGGGAGCGCTTTGGAGTTGAGGAGTGTGACAGAAAAGCTTTCCTCTCGGCGAACCGCGGCTGCGGTCTCCGTACAATCAACGAATTTGAAGAAGAATTGGAGCGCCTCAACGAACTCAAGAAACAGAACCTACATCTTTTTGTCGAAGATGCGCGATGCCGACTGCAAGAGCTCTGGGATAGTCTCTACTACTCAGAAGAAGAAATGCTTGACTTCACCCCTGCCTTTTCTGACGTTTACAGCGACGCTTTGTTAGAAGCCCATGAGGCAGAAATTACCCGGCTGGAGGCATTAAAGGAGCAGCGTGCTTCAGTATTGCAGCTCGTAGAGAGGCACCGTAGCCTCCTCGCAGACCGAGAGGCCCTGGCCGTGTCAAGCCAAGATGCATCTCGCCTCATGGCGCGTGGAACCAGCGGACAAAGACGTGATCCAGGAAAGCTTTTGAGAGAAGAGAAAATGAGGAAGAGGATTGCTAAGGAGCTGCCTAAGGTGGAGGCGGATCTGCGGAAAGAACTGGAGTACTTCGAGGACGAGTTTGGCCGGCCGTTCCTCGTTCATGGAGAAAGATATCTCGATGAGCTCACTCCAGTCGTCGCTAAACCTCCGCCTCGTTCTAAGACGCCATCCGCCGGGCCAGGAAGCGTGAGGGGAGGATCTATGAGGCAACAACCCCCTTCTCGCCCTGCCAGCGTTATGAGAGGACCTCCTCCCCCCCGGTCTGCTACG